AAATTTTATGTTAAGTTGAGTACGTTTGTAAATGCTTTCTTGAACAGGATTCTTGTCGTGTACCTAAATATGATTTTACATAAGTTGTCAGCATGACCACAATGTTGACTAGGTAAATACATACCTGTACGTACATACATATTTACATATACGTAGGTATGTACAGGGTGGTTTACATGTCAGGTTGCAATGGAAAATTTATCAATGGGAAAAATTCGCAAATCTCCATTAGTTACCGAAATTTTGCCTATGAAATTCAGTATTTTAAGAATTTTGTCATCAGTGTTCCATAAGTTTTGATAAAAATTAATAAAAATCTCAATCCCAAATCCATAACTAATGGAAATTTACGAATTTTTCCCATTGAAAAATTTTCCATTGTAACCTGACTTTTAAACCACCCTGTATATATCTGAAGGTATATAATATTGTCTGTAACCGTATTTTGCTAACAGCAGCTAAACATTTCCTTACGCGCAGTCAAACAAAGGATGATTTAACCTGAATCAATTAATTCTGGAGGAAGACTGCATAAAAAAATGGTGGGAAGGAAATTGTTATTTCCGGAAGGTTGTTGATTTTCACCATTTCTCTCCAAGTTCTTGAGAATTTTTCATATGCCAACTAAATACTAAATGTGGACACGTTCTTGCAAAAAATTAGGATATTTCTCGACGTAAGGCGATGTTAATTTCTAGATTTTTCAGTTTTATCGAGTTTTACTAAAAAAACACTGATGACGTCCCATAATTAATACGTTTTCTTCTACTAAATCATACTCCGTAAAGGGTTAAAACATCAAATTTTGTACGTGTACAAAACGGAACCATGTGGACGACATCATTCCAACTATTTTTGCTGCACCACTTACGAGTCTGCGTTTTTCTAAAGTGCACCTTATGCCGATGGGATGCCGCCTCAGAACAAATTATTCCGGCCAAGGCGACACTGGAGGAAATTTTGTATCAAAAAACTCAACTAGTTTCCGGCGTCGGGTATGCGATTGGGATCATTTTGAAACTTTCTGTGGGAAAGGACTCCATCGCTGAGAAGTGTCAAGGCGTCCTCTTCCTCCTCTGTTTGGTCATCTGCATCCTGTCGAGATGGTATTGGCCGAGGAAGGGGCAACTCAGTGAACCGTGTCGAATGCTGAATTCGTGTTTTAAATATGAAAAAGTTGTCGTCAAAGAACACGGTAAGTGACTGGTGGGTTTATTTCAATGAAGGTTTCCCAAGGTACATATTCTCAAAGATTTTGGCCACCGTGTAAGGACTGCCAGTCAGTCGTAGATGAGTTGGCCTTTAGTATAGCTATTGACGTCAATAGCTATAGTAAAGGCCAACTCAATAATGTACATTATTGAGGGAAATTGAAACCTGAAGTATTTTTGACCTCCCAGATAAATTAGGGATGAAATAGAATAAATTTAAAAATTTCAAATCTCTTATTTTTAAACCAAACTGTAATTGAGTCGTTAATGAGTTATCAATGAGTTGATCTAAAAATTATTAACTTGCAATTTTTGATTTCGTTAGAATTTCTGCCATCTTACCCTAAATTTATCGGAGAATCCTAAAAGGCTGAAACTTTCAACTTTGCACAAGTTTGTGAAAAGTTACAGTAAATTTAAGGGCAACTGATTTACAACTCACGGGCAGTCCTACATCGTAGTGTCAATCGATCACAAATTTAAGTAGTATGAAATTCGCAATTCACATAATGCACCAGTTTGGCGACGATATTTGCATCCAAAGATGAGAAAACACACCTTAATAATGTTGGAAAATCTAAAACTTTTTAAATTCATTTATTACTTTATTTTATTTATTTTAAAATAAATAAATTTATTTTATTTCAAATTTATTTATTTACTTTTCTACTTTGAGGATTAAAATATCTGCGTATTGGAAGAACGTGCAATTTGCAAGCTCCATATTAATTAAATTTTTGATCGATTGGCACTACTTTGACCAATATCTGTGGAAGAAGATCCCCGAGGAAAAATTGAACTGGTTTTCCTACAGAGAAATGGGCAATTTTCTGCAGGAAAACTTTACGATGAGCGATTTCTGCAGAAACATATGTGGGTATGTAGAATTATGCAAACAAATTATGCATAATGTGCTTAATATGCCTCTAGCTTTTGACGATGACTGTAGAATTCGACACAGTACTTCTTCTCAGGGGCTCCATTTTAGTTAATAAGTAATTAGTAATTTAAAAATCGATAATATATTCAGAACGTTTAGATACGCTTAAGGGGGCCATACATATATTACGTCTTCAAAAATTCTCGACTTTGCCACCCACCCACCTAACATAAATATTGAGGGATATGGAATTTTAACATGGGAAAGACCTAAACCACCCATCCACTAAAACGATGACGTAATAAATTTATGGGCGTTCCCTTACATACTTTTTGCCATCTTGCCCCTAGGTAAGCCGGCGCATCAACCTGCAACGAGAGATAAAGTTATGGTAGCGTTTCTCCGTTTACTGGAAATGACTGCGTTCCTATTTCCACTCCTTGTGGTCGCCATCCAGCTGCATAATCCATGCGCGTTACCATTCCTCGGGTCATGGTCACCCTACTGCGTGGATGGGGATTGGATTCCGCCCCCACTGCTCGTTCATGCCCTCATGTTACTAGCGGATTTCTGGGTGTGGCTACATTTCGTGTATGATGGCTCTTTCTACTTCGTGTACGCCTATATGACTTCCATGGTGGCCATGCTAGATTATTTGGAACATTTCGAAAAGTAAGTGGCCAGGGTAAGTTATCCCTGGTAGTTTTTGGGTAATTAGGTTTTGCGGGTTTTGGTAGGTTTGGGGGCAAATTTCTATGAACAATACCCGTTGCTTGTCCGGTCCGGGTTTTCAAAGTTATTAATATTCATGATGGCAGGACACACCTGACAATTAATCATTATTGAAATTGAATTAAAAAAACTGCTTTGTTACTAACTTATTGAAAAAGCATTCTTTCCAAACTAGATACATGAGAGACTGACGCAGAATGGAGGTCTCCCAACGTATGCTCACAGATTTGGACCAAACTGGTGTCAATCGATCATAAATATAATTAGTACGAAATCCTCAAATGGGACTATCTGCCAATGCACAAATTTAGCGGAGATATTTCCATAAAAAGAGGAGAAGCCGCAACCCTAAGGCTGGCAAATTTTTCATTTTCTAAATTTGCTGCGCATTTTTCTCGCTTTGGATGCAAATATCTCCGCTAGTCTTGAGCATTGGCAGATAGTTCCATTTGGAAATTTCATACTAATTATATTTGTGATCGATTGACTCTAGTTTGGTCCAAATCTGTGAGCATACGTTCGCAGACCTCCATTGTCAGTTTGCCCGCAAAATCTCAATTACCCGCAAATCCCGGGTGAAACCCCAGTAGCAGGGTTTTCTGTACCCTGTTACTGTCCGGATATATACTTAACATTGCTCTGACTTGTAACCCAATATTTAAATTTATTTGAATTCAGGTTAATTCGGGAACCTCGAATTTACCCAAGGCCTAAAAAAGTCCCTTCAGGTCCTCTGGAATGTCGGGTCACCCGGGCGCTACGTACCTACAGGTGCATCCGACTTATCGAAAAGATTATGAATTATTCCATGAAAGGTCAACTCGTCCCCGCCATGATCGGGATCGTCCCACTCATCCAAGTCTTCACACAATTCGTGTGTATCAAATTATATTCGGAAATCCCGCTCCCCGGTTTTCTCATCTTCCCCATGCTGCTCCTCGATTCTGCCATTGTCAACTTGGTCATTGAGACGATGGCTGCGAACGTGCATACAAACTCGGTCAGGCTCTTGGCTGAATTGAATTTTGAGCTGAAAAGTCTCCCAAGAAGGTCGAAATTTCGGAAGGAATTGGAAGCTTGTACGGCAACGAGGATTCAGTTTGGGCAAAATTTTGTGGATAAAGGGACTCCTTTAGTAATTGAGAATTACTGCATTAGCCAAACTGTTTCACTACTTTTGTTAAATAGTACGAAAACGGTGGGAAAGTAGAGTAATTGGGGTAATGGTTTTAAATCGGCGATAGGGGAATGTCCATGTATTTATTATGCATCATTTTAATAAGTTGGACATCTTTCCCATGTTAAAATTCCCTATCCCTTAATGTATACGTTGGATGGGTATACTTCGCCCAGTTGTATTTCATCTCGTTAAAATATATGTCTAAGTAATTAACATTGTTCGAATTTAAATTGCAATCAGGGTATTCTTATTAGTCAGATTTCTAGTAGTAAATAATTGGTAACTATGTAGAGGGAAAATATTTGGTCTAATTAATTAGTAATTAGACTTAAGGTGTTATTTAGCCCATGTAATTAGCTAATTAATTAGAAAATTTGCCAATTAAGATACCCAACAGTACGCCAGGATTTAAGGGCAAGATGACCTTGATATCTAATTTACGACTATTTAATTATCGATGAAAGTAATTAATTTTTAATTCTTAATTTATGGGTGTGCAAAAATTGGAATTAAGTCTTAATTGCAAATGCTTATTTGTCCAGTTATTAAACTTAATTACCAATCACAATTTTCTTCACAAAAATGTAATTGACTATCAATTACCAATTACTAATTTGTAATTTGTAATTCAATTTGTCCACGTGGATCCTTCTGGAGCGTAGATGCAGAGGAGTTGGTCAATTTTGTTCTTGGTTTCGTCACTCATGAATGTTATAGGTTGACAATTTACGCAATTGATTGCATCATCTTCCAGTCGGGTCAATGTATAAACTGATAAAATGCCAATGAATTACCTACCCAGTCATAAATGTTCAAACAGAACTGGGTGCAAAGATATAAATAGCCTCAATACATACGAAATCACCTTATCAGAACTCACTTTATCGTAAATCAATGTAGTAAATAATACGTTTGGAGATCCTCGCTGTTGGTTCACTTCTGGTACTATTTACAAAAGCAGTATTTAGAAGGACCGGACTTGCATCAAATAGCGATCAGGTATGATTTATTTTACATACTATGTTAGCATAATTTTTGTCTTATTTTTGAGTTACTCTAATTCAAAAATATTCTATGATCAGGTCGAATACATGTACAGCAGATTTTTTTAATTCCACATAATTTAACAAATTTTTCAAAATTTCACAAAATCCAATTATTTCAAAATATCACATAATTTGAGCAATTTAAATCTTACAAATCAAAATTTTTAAATTGTGCACAATTGCAAATTAAATTTCCCCCTTATCAAATTTTGCTGCGCATCCTTGAACAACGGACCTTATCGGCGTTCTTGGGTATATTCCGTCTACCCAGCGCGAGGATGAGTAGCAGGTTGCGTTGCCAGAAAAATCGTTCCCGTCAAACGCCGTCCAACTCGATCCCCCCGTGAGAACGAGGTATTTGGGAAGAAATCCAAAATTGTTGGCCGCCAATCCAGTAAAAGTTCGCTCGATTCCGCCCAAGTCGGAATGACTGGTTCCATTAAAAATTGAAATAGAAGTCGTTGTTGTTTCCAAAGGTCCCAAATGCTTGAGAGACATGGATGAAGGAAGGGTGGAATTTATGCAAACGACTGAATCAGATATCACCACGAGTGTCTGCGTCGTAACGAAATTGGTATCATTGAATCCGGACCAACTATTAAAATTTTGAGAAAATTATAATATGTGACAAAATCCCTTTAAAATACAAATAATTAGCAACTATTGCGGTGGATCGAAGTCAACCGGACAGAATATCTACGCGCCAAAATCACGTGCCCATTTGATTAACATTAGAGGCGGGCCGAAATTCAAATCAAATCCATCCGGTTCACTTCGATGCACCGCAATAGTGCTGTTCACGAGGTCGAGGTGACTCGCTCGGCTCATTTGTTACGAGCTATTGCCGAGCCTGGAGAAAAAACCGCTATTAATAATCGAGCGAGTTAAGTTTTTGGATAAGTGGGCAGAGCAAAAAAATTAATCCTGACAATATCTTCTGTCATTTCAAACTTTTTAAACATCTTTCATAGATCTTGGGAAAATCTTGAGATGGCTCGGATCGGTTCGAAAAAGATCGAGCTCGATCCGAACAAGTAGCTTAACTCGGGTCGCGATAATTCAGCTCGGTTCGTTTGTTATCTAGCCTAGCCACCCATAAACTCGCTCAGCTCGGCTCGTGAACTCCACTATTGGTATAAAAAGGAATCAAGATTTTGAATAATACTTACTATCCTTGATAACAATAGGATTTGACATCCCTCAGAAAAAATTGATGTTGGGTAAGATCCGGTTCTCGCGTTCGGAATCGGAATGCATTCCCCCCGGAGTTGGGTTCTGTGTAGAACGTCCACTCCTGCACGTAACCGAGTGCCACGGACAAAATAGTGACGAAAGCGAAGAGTCGAAGCGACATTGTTCAAATTTGAGAGATGATTGATGGCTTTACCAGGAATGGTTTGCCTTTTATTCCTGTCCAACATTGCGTCATGATCATTCCGACAGACAAATTTGTGACGTTTTAGTTTGAACTTTGATAAGTCATGTAATCCACTTCAATTCAATTGGTCAAACGACTACTGCATAAATAACTCTTGACATGTTATGCGGGTAAGAATGTAATTGATTTACGATAAAGTGAATTGTGATAAGGTTTTTTCGTATGTACTTATATCTTTGCACCCAGTTCGGTTTGAACGTTTATGAATGGGTAGGTAATTCATTGGCATTTTATCAGTTTATACATTGACCCGACTGGAAGATGATGCAATCAATTGCGAATATGTATATGTCAGCCTGTAGCATTAATGAGTGACGAAATCAAAGACAAAGTTGACCAACTCCTCTTCATCGACGCTCCAAAAAGATCCACGTAGACAAATTGAATATATGTACAGGGTGGTTAAAAAAGCAGGTGACATTTATAACTTATTCTGCTAAAGTTCCATTAGTTCCGACAAAAACAACTGCAGTCTTCGTACCCAAAGGGAAATATCTCCCTTATAAGTAGTTACCAATTCTCCCAATTTACATACATAATTGGCATTCTAAGTTTACCCCGTATAAACCATCGCATACGTGGGATTCTTAAAACTATTCACTTTCTCGGTCGGGTTGGAGGGATGTGATGTCCTTGGCCTTGGCATGTTACAAGAAGCAATTTGAAGGAGATACGATGTTGACATTCAAGTATTAGCACTTCAATTTCAACCATTTTGTCACTTATTAATCAATTACTCAATTACCAAGTTATTGCATTTCTTTTCAAATACATAGCAACTTTTCTCTGCTATTGGCCCCTGAAACATTTGTATTTAAATTTGATGTACGTCCATACAATGTAAAAATGCATGCTAAAAAAGTCAACATGTCAAGTGCATCTCTGAGGGACCTATTAATTCCTCATATTCATGTGTTAATGCAATTCTACAACTTGACAGCCTTCTTTACCTTGTGAGTTATTAAATTCTGACACGTTGTGCATGTCAATGTAAACGGATAAAATGCCAATAAATTACCTACCCACTCATAAACGTTCAAATCGAACTGGGTGCAAAGATCTACATAGTCTCAATACGTACGAAAAAACCTTATCAGAACTCAGTTGATCGTAAATCAATTACATTCTTGTCCGCACAACATGTCAAGAGAGTTATTTATGTAGTAGTCGTTTGACCAATTGAATTGAGTTAAATTCAAGTGGATTACGCGACTTATCAAAGTTCAAACTAAAACGTCACACATTTATTTGACGCAATGGTCATGACGCAATGTTTGGCAGGAATAAAAGGTAAACGATTCCTGCTAAGGTTGTCAGTCATCTCTGAAATTGCAATAATGTCGCTTCGACTCTTCGTTTACATCACTATTTTCTCCGTGGCACTCGGCTACGTGCAGGAGTGGACGTTCTACACGGAACCCAACTCCGGGGGGAATGCGTTCCGATTCCGAACGCCAGAACCGGACCTTACCCAACATCAATTTTTTCTGAGGGATGTAGCATTAGCTTTTGCAATCATCATTTTCATTTCATACAAAACATTTTATCAAGGATAGTAAGTACTATTCAAAATCTTGATTCTTTTTTATGCCAGCGTTGCTAATAGTGAAGTTCACGAGCCGAGCTGAGCGAGTTTATGGGTGGCTGGGCTCGATAACAAACGAGTCGAGCTGAATTATAGTTCATCTACTGGTTCGACTCGGCTCGGATCGAGGTCTAACGTTTTCGAGTTGAGCCGAGCCAGCTCAAGATTTTCTCAAGTATTATGAAGGATATGTGTAAAAAGTTTGAAAATATATTTTCCAATGAATTTGACAGTATTTAGTGCAAAAATTAACGCCAATGTGACGTAAACATTGTAATATGGTCCAAAATATTGTCAAGATTGATTTTTTTATCTAGCCGAGCCAGCTCGGTTTTGGCTGACTTATCCAGAAATTTAAATATGTAGCTCGCTCGATTATTAATCGAGCTTTTTTCTCCACGCTCGGCTATGGTTCGTGCCAAACAAGCCGAGCGGGCTCGACCTCGTGAACAGCACGATTTGCCAAGGATTTTTATTTTTTAAGAGAAGTTTTCACGTACACCCGGTAGACAAAAGTATTGGTTGTTTTTTATGTCACATCTTCATATGCATGTAAAACTTTCATATGTTATTGAAATTGGTCAAATTTTTTTTCGTTGGTACATAACTTCATTACCTTCGAAATAGTATATTTGCACATTTTAACATTCAAGTATTATTGACAAAATAAATTACAAACCATTAGAAAACGTGTGATGGAGTCGGTCATAAGTATTGGTCATTTCAATTTTCAGTGTTATAACTTGAAGATAAACTAACACATCTTACGTGCAAACTAATTTTTGGATATAATACTTCTTTGCTGTCAGATTTTAATCATTTGTGAACAAAAAATTATGAAATTGTTGAATTGGATATTGTCAAGTAATACCAGAAACGAGGTATCTACAAAGAAGTTCAAAGTGCTCACGGATTTTTACAAAAACTTCCATCTGAAAATAAAATGCTGTAAATGTGACCAAAACAGGACCAGAAACAGGTTTGGGCGCTAATAAGCCATAACCTGGACATATGAACGTAACAAAACCACGCTAGAATACGAATAGTGTGAATTTTTCTGCAGCTCGTCATGAGGTCACTGCCACGAATCGGCTTAAAAACATAAATACTGAGAAATTCAGTAGGTTACCTCGAAGCTAATTGGTCTAAGATTGCCTGATGCTAATTTGTTAATACGAATGCCACAAAATAAGTTAAGTACCAAGAAGGAAGATATCTGTTGGATTTCATATGTATAATGTGAGAATGTGAGATTTGTTCGGGGTAATTTAAAAAGCCAGCGGAGCAGTCGAGTTTTGTCAGAGAGAGAAAGAAGTCGTTTTTTTAGGAGAGCAGATAGTAACGTGTAAATTAAGTTAATTGATTGGGATTTACAATAAACTTATACAAACTCGTAATATTGCTGCTGCTACTCATATTCATTGATTAGATAGATTATCCGAAGTGGTTAAAGTAAAGTCCACGGTTTTGTTCGTCCGGTATTCTTTGTGACGTTAGAGTTCAATGAGTCAGGGCACGTTCAGGATTAGTGGCAATAATAACCCAAGGTCATAATATTAGGAGACGGAGCCTTACGGTTAGTAGGTGACTTGTCGTGTCTCAACAATATCAATAATTTGAGATAGACAAATTCAAACCGTACCTGAATAACTAAGTGTTGCTTTAAGGTACGTTACCTAGATCAAATTGAATTTTGCGTTTTCAGGAACAATGGGTCCAGGTTGACTTGGTGACGGCCAGAAAATTAAGCAAAAAATTAATTCGTACATAACACATTGAAATATCAAAATGACCATGAATTTGCTAAGCTTGATTTTGCTCATCATTACTCATACCTATGCCTAACTTCTGATATCGCGATATGATTTTGAGTTCAATGGCCTTAATTTGTGTCGACAGTCCCGCCCAACTTACCAAAAGCAAAAAACACCAAGAACACATCCGTTTTCGTACAAAAATTTAAACCAATCAGTGCAAGAGAGTCACTTTTGAACTTATTTACGTTTCTGCGAAATGATTACCCAAGCATATCGCCTAGGTGGCATAGGAATGCGTTCAAACCTTCAGACCTATATGTTTCTGAACATTTAATGTGGTCCCCTTGCAGATTTAAAAATTAGCGAGCCATTAGAACAAAATTCTTAGACATAAACATGCTACGGTGCATAATGGTAGTGAGTTGGCGAATTTTTCGAGCACAAATGACAGTTAACATAAGCTAATTTAATTTCTAATATTGGAAATGTTTGGCCATCAAATATCACAAAAGTAACTGCTACCGTAAATTTCCATTTTTAATATTAATTATGAATTTTGAGAGTGACCAATACTTATGACCGACTCCATCACACGTTTTCTAATGATTTGTAATTTATTGTGTCAATAATACTTGAATGTTAAAATGTGCAAATACCCTATTTTGAAGGTAATGAAGTTATGTACCAACGAAAAAATATTTGACCAATTTCAATAACATATGAAAGTTTTACATTCATATGAAGATGCGACTTAAAAAATAACCAATACTTTTGTCTACCGGGTGTATTTTATCAAAAAAAATTTCATATCTAGTTGGTCCGGATTCAATGATACCAATTGCATTACGACGCAGACACTCGTGGTGATATATGATTCAGTGGTTTGCATAAATTCAACCCTTCCTTCATCCATGTCTCTCAAGTATTTGAGACCTTTGGAAACAACAACGACTTCTATTTCAATTTTTAATGGAACCAGTCACTCTGACTTGGGCGGAATCGAGCGCACTTTTACTGGATTAGCGGCCAATAATTTTGGATTTCTTCCCAAATACCTCGTTCTCACTGGTAGATCGAGTTGGACGGCGTATGATGGGGACGATTTTTCTGGAAACGCAACCTGGTACTCATCCTCGCGCTGGGTAGACGGAATATACCCAAGAACGCCGATAAGGTCCGTTGTACAAGGATTTGATTTGATTTGGAAAATTTGATAAGGGGGGAAATTTGATGTCAATCCATTTTAGTGGACATAGATAATTCGTTCAAGGAATATAACAAAGGGGTCTTTTGTTTAAATTTTAACTGTATAAATTCTATTAATTTGATTAAACAAAAATGTTAACAAAAAATCTTTTTGTTTGCAATAAAAATAATCCGAAATGTAGCAAAGGGGTGAAACGATAATCTTAAAGGTGCGTTTATGCTTCACGTCATCGTCACGTCCTCCTCCAAATCCGATTTTTTGATTGGTTAAAATTTTTAATTGTCGTAGTGATAATTTAGTTCAGCCAATCAAAAAATCGGATTTGAAGGAGGACGTGACGATGACGTGAAGCATAAACACCACTTAAGTTG